ATCCAGAGGGACTGGTGTTACTCACTCCTCAAGAGCAATCAGCTACCTCTAAGTATAATGCTTCTCAAATACAAGATTGCGCAAAGATATTTTACTGAATAAGGCACAGTTATTAAAATTACGTTATCATTAATATAATAAACATACAGAAACTACTGTACTCAGAGCTTTACAAACCCCAAATATAGAGTTGCCTCGCTACCACCAACATATAGGTACATTACATTCCTGCGAGCACTTAATTTTTTTTCTACCCTCAACGTTTGATACCACTGCCTTTCAGGAAGGTATGCTTTCTTTTGTGCTGTTTACTAATTATTCTCATCTAGTCCATAAAGCCTTTTCCAGCGCCCTTTCCTCTGAGTTCCTATGGCAATTATGATATAGATGAGTCCTCTGGCATTTCTCAAGTGCCATCTCATGCTATTAAGTAGAGCTTGTTTTTCACGCTGCTATGTCTCATCTCTCCAACTGCATTATAAGTAATTCAGGAATGTCATGTGTCTTTGAATCTCCCTAGTGTTTAATAAGGTGTCTTGAGTTAGATTATAAGCTCCTTGAGGGAAGGGACTTCATCCATTATTTTGTTTTCCAAGGTAGCTCCTAGAACTCTACCCTGACATATAGCATACAATTGATAAATATTTACTGAATGAAGGAAATCATATTAATACTAGGTGCTCAAGAGATATTTGGTGGGTTGAATAATAGTACTGCTAACCTACTATCAGCTGGACCTATGTTTGAATTAATTTTCCAACAGCAATGTGATTTTCATTAGTAATTCAAGGTAAGTCCATGACTTTATGACCTTGTACTGCCCTAGGATACACGAAGAACCCAAACACACAAAAAAGTAGAAATGACAGTTTTTATCCCCGAGGAATCCATGCTTCATTTCCATGTCTCAAGTACTGCAGCCTTCCTCTTATTACACCCTTTTCTTATCCAAGCATGCCTTTGTAAGGGGGTTATCTTGCCAAAGATTAGGGCTATTGTTTTACCCTGGAATTTAACCCATATCAGTTAGCACAATGATACAGCCAACTGGGATCCTCTTGCAGGGATGGGAACCAAGGAAAATCAGGGCTATTGGCTTTGGTGTGCATTCCAGGGGGTGGGGATGTCAAGCACATCCCTTTCTGCTAAGATCATCAACTCTCAGAGACACCCACTGGAAATCCCCTGTCCTATTCCTCCATCTAAATTCACAGTTAAGAGGAAAATGTCCCCTCTTCATTTCCCATACTACCATGGCTGGTAAAGTCTAGTAGTTCATGTGCTTTCTCCTGTTTGTTTTTCTGCAAAATCATTGGACTTCTCCAGCAGTCGATTTCCTGGGAAGGGGTCCCTTCCACTACGGGGAAGTGCCTAGCAAGGGGTTCACCCTCCACATATATTTTCTGAACTCCCATCATTCTGAGGAGGAACTCTAGTTCTTCCATTCTGCTTTTTGGTTGGCAGCTGATGGCAGCACTGAGCTCTTATTTAGTGTTCACTTGGGAGAGGGGCTCTCAGACTGCCTCAGTGGCCTGAACACCAAGGGGCGACAGCTGCAAGGCCACAAGACTGTTTTCTTGACAAACTTTGATTGTCATCTACTTCCCAGGCAACTTTCTCTGACTCACTGAGTATTTGGTACATGAGAAAATAAATTGGCTTGAGGTACACAAACTAAGAACGGGTGCAATTTTCTAGGGATTATACTAAGGGTCTGTGGGATTAACTTTCTGGTGCAAAGATCTATCTTGGCATATGTTGTCCAAATGAAGTCATTCACCTTGAACAATTTTGTTTTGTCTGTTTTTTTAAAAAAAATGTTTCATGAGTTGGCTGTTTAAAATAAGTAACAGGAAAATTATGGACTATTAAAAATAGAAGCTTAATGGAAAACTAGATTAAGTAGGTTTTTAAAAATTAAGTCATATTTATTCAACATTCATATTTAACCTGTAGATTTTGGTTATATGATATATGTTTTGCTGCACTTCACACTCAAAAGTTTTCAAAGGAAAACTTAATATCTTGTCCCCCAAATTGCTCCTGTTCCTAATTTCTCTATTTCTACCATCTCTTCCAGCCACCTAGATTCAAAGCTACAGCATTCCTCAAATCCTACCTCTCGCCTGGTCACTGTTTCTAATCATCTTCCAAATCTGGTAGATTGCACCACTCCATGTCTCTCACATGGAATGTCAGCATGCCCCACTCTAGGTACCTAGGTATTAAAGGGCCTTCCCGGTTGGGCCAATGTCCCTTTTGAGTCTGTCTTCTTGCTACTACTTGTAATCTGGTCTCAATAACAGTAAAACCATAACCCCTAACCTACATATCCCTGTACTAAATGACATCCTCGATCACTGTTCCCTCAGTCTGGAAGTTCATCCAACCCTTCAAAGGCCTCTCTCCCAAGAAAATCATCTAAGATCACCCTGACCAGATACACCCTCTCTCTTGAATCCCCACAGCGTGATGCTTGGCCATCTCTCACCCTGCGTTCCTTGCAGTTGTTTATGAACTCGATATGGTATCCTCCTCGCCTTCTCCCAGACATCATCTCCTGAGGGCTGAGAACATGTCTTACTCTTGCCCAAAGTTTCTGCAGTACCCAGGACACTGCCTTACATATAGTATAAGCTCGGTACATTGACAAATGTATAGTTTCTGTATGAATAATATACCATTGATTGAGGTGAAATATCATGGTCCCCTCTTTTGTACCCATTACTGTCAAACTCAAGCAAATGCCTGTCAGCCTCAAAAGACATCACAGTAATGTCATAACAGCCCCTCTTAGAAACCACAGTCATCAGTTAATCCTTGACCATTGGCCCACACTACATGCTTCATTGTAAAGCATTTCAGTTCTTGGTCTAAAATACTTCTAGCTCAATTTCAAAGATGCTTATAGTAAACTCTTTAGTTGCAACTGGGAATATATATAAAGGGACCTGAAAAAAAGTAATATCTAACATTTTTAGAAGACCTACTCTTACAACATTGATATTGGTGACAAAAATAATAAATGTATTATTGGTTTAAGAACTGCTTTTCTGGGCTTCCCTGGTGGCGCAGGGGTTAGGAATCCGCCTGCCAATGAGGGACACGTGTTTGATCCCTGCCCGGGAAGATCCCACATGCTGTGGAGCAACTAAGCCCATGTGCCACAACTACTGAGCCTGCACTCTGGACCCCGGGAGCCACAACTACTGAAGCCCGTGCGCCTAGAGCCCGTGTTCCGCAACAAGAGAGGCCACCGCAATGAGAGACCCACGCATCGCAAGGAGGAGTGGCCTCCGCTCGCCGCAGCTAGAGAAAGCCCGCGGGCAGCAACGAAGACCCAACGCAGCCAAAAACAAAAACAAACAAACAAATAAATTTTAAAGAAAAGAACTGCTTTTCTAAAGTAAAAATAATATGAGAAAGGGTGAGCATGATGGGTTTTTGCAGTTGTTGTTTGTTTTTGTTGGTTATACTATTCCCTTAAAGTATCTGACACTCAATTATAGTGTTAACTTTGGAGTTTTTTGGTGGGTATGTCAGCATGCTTTCAGATCTAACCAATGAAACCTCCAACTCAAGCTGCCTTAAAAATAAGTGAACATTTATTACATATATATGTAATATATATTATTAATAAAAAGCATTTATTATCTAACATGACAGGAAGTAGAGTAGCCCCTCAAAACTGATGATTCAGTGGCACATGACGTCTCATGGACCAAGCTCTTCACATATCTCTACTCTGTGTCCACAGACTCCAAACCGTCCTAAAGCTTATTCCTCTTGAACGTGTTCTTAGCAACAACTGGAGCTACCTGCTTGCTTGTTCGCTCCCAATGGGAGAGGACAGTATATACTTTCCTAACCGTGAAAGAAGAAAGTCTCTCCTTTCAGTCTGATTGGCCAGTTTAAGTCAAGGACCTACCCCAGGACGAGCAGTTGTCTACAGGGAAACACCAGGCACAAATCTGCTTACCCCTCAGCTTCTAGAATAACTTCTAAGAAGGAAGATAGAATTTCCATGGTTGGCTAAGGGTAATTAAAACCATTTTGGGGGAGGTGTCAATTATGAAAAGCAAGTTGATATTATGAAACACAGAACAAAGGAGGAGTTCAACGGATGCTATTGAGTAAGTCACAATGGCAAATATGGATTGGTAACTATGCTCAAACAACAAAGACAATTGCCTTAAGAAACTACAATATTTTGAATATAGAATTTTTAAAGGACTTGTATGTTCACTGAGTGAGATTTTGTTACAAATAGGTACCAACATTTCTCCAACAGAACCATCACCAACAAGGAAATGGGATTTATTTAATGTAGGCTGTAAGTTTTATGAGGTCAGGGACCATGTCCATCTTCCTCAGTGCTCTATCCCTAATGCCTAGCAGAGGGCCTGGCACAGGTGAGATGTTCAGAAAGGTTTCTTTTTGAATAAATAAACAGTAAATAATTTGCACTAGAACAGGGCATCACATTGAAGAGGACGCCTGGGTGCCACATTAATTTAACTCAAAAAGATATCAAAGGCAACTTTTCATAGAACCAAACTAATTCAATAAAGAAAAACCACCCAGTAAGCTGCTGTCATGCTCAAAGTTAAAGATGTTCTGTAATCCCAGCAAATGTCTGTGCTAATGTTGTTGTTCAAGAAATATTCTTCTTCTATCTCTATCTTTAAAAAAGGTAGAACTCAAACCACTTCAAATTATCCTTATAGGAAAGCTGAGCATTTGAAACACAAACCCAGCTTTCATCTGGCAGCTGCAACTATAATATTTTATTCTCACGAGGTCTCCTATCAGAAGCCACTGCAGACATTCCCACAAAGACATCGCATAATATGAGGGCCAATCAAACAGAATGTGGTCTCCTGGATTTCCCTGTCGTTTTGATAATAGAGAAAAGAGGGATTAAACCAAAGCTTTCCCGCTCCAAGCCCTCGTCTTTCTGCAGACTTTCTGGATAAATGTGCCCCAGCTGTCGCACTGACCTTCCAGGACACTGGTACTTCCCACTCCCAAATGCCATGAAGCAGTCCAAGAAAGCATGCTTCTCTAAATTTGCCTTTTTCCAACGTTCCTGTGGGAAGAAAGCATTTTTTTTTTTCTAAATCAGTCTTATATAAATAAGCTTAACTTTATTTCTCTAGGCTAAAAATGATCTTGTACAGCTAATCCTTGCATATAAAGTTGCAGGATTGTTGGTAATTTTTTCCAACCTGTTATTAATATCAGCCACAATTATGTTTTTGGAATGGGAACTAATAAATAAAAAGGTTTAAAAAGAACTTTGTTAAGTGGTAAATGTAAATGATAATGTAAATCAACCAGAGAATTGACCTCAGAAGAGGAAGAATATTTATAATAAGGCCTCAGGCTCCATCATAAAATTGCCCTTGGTAATAAATTTAGTAATGACACACTGACAGCCCTCCCTGTTGGAGAAAGCTTGGTCTGCAGAATTAATTCATCTGGATGCCATCTTTGACAGTTTTACCTAAAGGCAGAGAATGGACTAAATGACCTCTTAAGATTTTGTTTAGCCCTGTAACTCCCCAGTTCTAAGAAAGAGCAGAACACAGTTTTAATTTGCTTCATTTTTATTTTTGTACTCCTTGGAAACCAATAACAGAAGCAATTGCCTGAAGAACATGAAATATGGCTTCTATCAGAACCAAAGCATATTTACTTTTAACATGTCCTGCTGGTTTCAGACAAAAATTTATTTTAAAGTTGGTGAAGCTTATTCCAAAAACTTTTCTATCTGATTTGTAAATGTTATGACATCTATATTACAAATCTAGTCTGTGATTTGTAGCCTTAGTTACCGGAGAAATATGGCTGCTTAATGATATAGCCCTAGTTAATTTATGAATTCATACTCCTGTCGGAAATCCAAGGACAATGTATACTGAAAGAGACAACTTACAGGCTTGAACAGGTCAGGTTCAGGAAAATACTTTGGATTTCTATGTAGCCAAAATGGAGACATCATCAACAAGTCACCAGAGGGAACGGTATAATTCTATAACAGAAAAATGGTTCCAAGTCATGTTTTGAGATCTGCTTTAATGAGAGCTTGGGTCATTAAAAATAATCCTACAACCATGTTACCATATTAGAGAGAAGACATATACATCGTATAATCAATGGTGAGAAAATCTCTTTCCTAGATGGATCATTTCTATTTTCCAATGTAGGCAATTACTTATTTCTAATTCTGATGATCAGTTATACATACATATATCTTTGGTTACATGGAAGAAGATAGAGATACATGTGAAAATTTTAGAAACTGGTCTAAGTCCACTGTAATGCAGCTTTTGATGTTTGATATTGGAGTTTGCAGCAAGTGGTCTTGATGACGGAAACCACAGTGGATTCCCAGGTTCTAGAACAGAAAAAACTAACTCTGAGACAGGACACTGGCCATACTGGCACTGAGAACAGGGGCAGTGGATGTTCTGTCCTAGGGGATGCTGATGACAGTGTCAGGGCAGGGGCAGTGGATTCTGTTTGTTTCACTCTAGCAGCAGCTGTTAGGGCAGAAAGAAGTTGAAGACAACTGCTTAGGAAGACGTAGGACAAAGCAAGTGTTGTGGGCTTATTGGGTTGGTTTCACATTTGAGGTCTCAGTGGTTGTGAAACTGATGATAAACAGTATGTTTCCTCAAGCAGTAGAGTCTGCATGACCCTTCTCCATTCACATTATAATAGCTTTTCATGATACATAAACTATACCAAGAACTAAAAACTATTTCACAAAATCATCTTTACATCACCTTGTTCAGGAACCAGAGGACAAAGAGATTGTTCTTTGTCTTTGTGAGATCGCTAGAGAGCTACCATCTCTACTGAGGTGAAGACGTTTTATTAGTAACTCCCTTTGCCAATCATCAGAAGCCACATCTGTTTAATCCTGCGTAATTTTGAAGTGTCCTCAAGATATCTGCAAAACACTTACTTTAAGTTTACGTATCTAGAACAGTAGCATGTTACAATTGAAAACATGTCTTTTTATGTGAGCAGGGAGTGGAGTATGGGGAGGCGCCATCGTTTTTTAATCCAAGAGGACCCCTGTTGACTCCGGTGATGGCTGAGTATTGCTTGAGTTTGGTAATTTCAGTGCCAGGATTGCTGGAGAGAGTCAGGTCAAGATAGGAAGAGATGGAGACTTTTGCTCAGGCCCTCTTCCCATTTTTAAAGTGGAAAATACCTGTGAGATCCCCGTCTTGTGTGTTTGTTCTACCTCTGCTGGGACTGAGGCTAGAGGGGTCATGACTGGCTCTGAAATCAGCTGGGGGCGGGGCCATGATATGTCTCGGGGCAGCCCTGGGCCAGGCATCCAGTCAAGGCAGCTGCTGCCCTTCCCCTCCCCGCACCCTCCCCACAGCCCTCTTCAGTGGCTGCTGACCTAGGATCGTGATGTGGAGATGCTGACTGCTGCAGCCTACAAAGCAGGGTAGTAGAGGAAGACTTCAAAGGTGGCCTCGGGAACAGCACTCACACTAGCAACAGGGAGGAGACCAGACAGAAGTTCCTGTTGCAGCAGCAAATGCCAGGCGGATGAGTGGCAGAAAAGGGTGTGAGAGCTGGTTGTATCAAAGGAATCCTCTGAGCAAACGGACATCGTTATGTCTGGGCCAGACGGTCCTGTCATTGTGAACATGGCACGTGAAGAGAAAGATCAAGAGGGAGACAAAACAGTCAGAGGACCAGGGCATAGATCACTAGGAAGTGGAAGTCACAGCTTCTCTGTGTTGGCAACAATGACACCTGTCGGGTAGACAGAAGAGAGCTTGGCTAGCCCACCCCACAGGGATGCTGTGAGGCCAGATGAACTTCATCTGCTAGTCCAGAGACTGGCTTTTCTTGAAGAGGGAAGAGAAGGATTCTCTGTTGTAACTCAAGAAGGATGCTAAGACCAAAGTGGGTGCAAGGAATGCAGACTCTTACTTCAAGAAAAGAGGAGTCCTGTAAAGGCAAAGCATCCATCAGAGGAGCCCCAAAGCACATTCTTTCTCTCTAGCTCTTTGGCCAGGAGCTTGGTTGGTGTTAGTTGTTTAAAAAAAAAAAAAAAAAGTACTTTAAAAATTAAAAGTGTATTCTTTTGTGTAATAAAAACTGCTTTCTAGAAATTGTGGAAGATTCAGAAAAATAGAAAAAACTAGAAAAGAAAACAACAAGAGAGCTGGCAACAAAAGACAGTTATCAGTTGGCTAGACTTCCCTCCAGTACTTTTACCTAATAACAGTAGTTTAGCTTTGTGGTTTTTTTACTGCTGTTTTTAAATATAGTTTGTTGTTTATATATCCTGATAAATATTGTTTACATATATAAATACCTAGTATATACATATTGTTTTTATCCTACTGAATAAATAATTTTTGACTTTTATATTGTTCACTTGAAATTATAGCATAAGTTTTATTTTTATATTGTATACTCATTTAAAATAATTTTCTCTCCAGTGGCTTCTTAATCAATCATTCTCTATTTTTGGTATAATAAATAATGCCATCACAAACATCTTCTTCCACAAATCATTGTTCATATGAAATCTTTTAACATATATGTTCAGAAGACATAGGAATATACATGTCCTATGTCTTCTGAACATCTAAGGCTATTAATATATGTTGCTCAACTGTTTCCTCAAATTTTGTAGCAAGATATGTTTCTAACTAAATATATGAGAGCATCAATTTCATTGCCCGCTCATCTGCTAATCTGACATTTTAAACAGGCTTTTTTTGATTGCTGTTTAAAAGTTTATGTCTTTGCTGAGTATTTTCCATGTTGTTATTTTCTTCTATAAAACTTTTGTGCTCATGTCCTATCCTCATTTATCTCTCTCTATATATTAGTCCTTTACTTATTGATCTGTGAATTCATTAAATATTAAAATTATTAACCCTTGAATTGTACTTATACTGACATTTATTCTTAATTTTTGGCTGACATTTAATTTAGGTTATACTTTAAAAAAGAGGACATGTTAAATTTTGATATGGTACAGTCCGTTCATCTGCTTTGTGGTTTCATTGATTAATCCTAAATATAAGAAGCCCTCTTCTCTCCACAACAGTGGCTTTCAAAGGTGGCTTAGGGTCTTCTGGGAGTCCCAAAACATTTTCAGAGAATCTGCCAGATCAAAAACCATTTCTGGGTAAAAGACTCATTCAAAGTATAGGATAGACCAATGAATTTTAATGTAACTGAGTACAAAAAATTCATTAATATATTTTCAGATTGCAACAAACTTTTAAGAAAGTACCTCTGTTGAGTTTTAGTATAGTATCAAAGAATAGCCACAGAAATATCTGAAAAGGCTAATAAAATACTCCTTCCTTTTTTGGTTACATGTCTATGAGAGGCTGAATCTTCCTCATTTCCATTAATAGGAAACAATATATCACAACAACTGAATGCAGACACATATATGGGAATTCAGATTTCTTCTATTAGCAAAAGGCATCAGAGAGATTTGCAAACACTTAAAATGATGCTGTTCTTCTATATTTTTTGTGTTTTGAAATATATAGTTATGTTTCATAAAACCACACCATCTGGGGACTTCCCTGGTGGTCCAGTGGTTAAGACTTTGCCTTCCAATGCAGCGCATGTGGGTTCAGTCCCTGGTCGGTGAGCTAAGATCCCACCTGCCTCGCTCCAAAAAACCAAAACATAAAACAGAAGCAATATTGTAACAAATTCAATAAAGACTTTAAAAATGGTCCACATCAAAAAAAAAAAATCTTAAAAAACCCCACACAATTATTTTAATATGTATTAGGTTTCTTATTATTTTAAAAATGAATTATTAAATAACTATTTTAACAATTTCTCAGCTTTAGTTTCTAATACAGTAAATACTGATAGTAAATACTGATAATACTGATAATAAAGAGAAGGAAGGAATACAGTAAACCAAAGAAACCAGAGTTTGTCCATTCTCACTTATTCCAAAAAAATATAGAAAGGAATGATTATAGGAGCAAAACTAAATATTCTGTTCAGACTGTAATAAATATCCTGTTCAGATTCCATTAGGAAAGAGCAGTGGAGAATACTTCTAGCATATTCATAGCAAGGAATCTTGACCTGTTGTCCAACTGGTCAAAACACAGATGATCCCATCTGAAATGATTTTTATGATCCAAATTCCCGGGAGCATATTAATATGTTCAGCAAAGACATTCCACCTGTTTTAGAAAATACTTGAAGCTTAAAAGAACCAAGTCATATGAATTTATACTAAGGAAATAATCAGTAATGTGCACAAATATTTAGCTATAGGAATGTTAATCTTTGTATTATTTATAATAGTGAAAGAATGGAAGCCACATACATATTCAAGAACATTGAACTGATTTTAAAATTTATTTGGTGTCCATTTATTAGATTATGCTGTAATTCAAAATGATGTGGATGTCTTTTATTGATACAGAAAACTATTTGGGATCTATTATTAAATAAAATAAAAGCAGGGGGCTTCCCTGGTGGCGCAGTGGTTGAGAGTCCGCCTGCCGATGCAGGGGACAAGGGTTCATGCCCCGTTCCGGGAAGATCCCACATGCCGCGGAGCGGCTGGGCCCGTGAGCCATGGCCGCTGAGCCTGCGCATCCGGAGCCTGTGCTCCGCAAGGGGAGAGGCCACAACAGTGAGAAATCCGCATACCGCGCAAAAAAAAAAAAAAAAAAAAAAAAAAAGCAGGTTGTGAGAAAACTAGCTTTGTGTGACCCCAATTTATTTTTTTAATGCACATATTACTGGAAAAAATTCTGAAATTATAATAATTCCAAATGTTCATAGTGGTTATCTCTAACTTGCAAAATTCTAAGCAATTTTTAATTTCTTCCTTTAGCTTCTTTTTATGGTCTTTTTTTCCCCCTGATTACCATACTTTGCTTGTGTAATAAGAAAAAATACCTGTTCCATTTATTATTTTTAAAGTCTCAACTCTGTAGGGTGAACATCACAGTGATTAGTTTGGGCCTCCTAAGAGGAAAGGCAGTGTTTATTTTGTGTACAGAAGAAATAGCAGGTACAGGAAACACTGCACCTTTTACAAATATTAAAAAGAGATGTGAAAAATAACAAAGGAAATGCTGGAACATTCTGGGATGATAGCAGCCTGAGTACGTGATTGTGGGGTCGCTCTACCACTGAGAGAGGCATAACTGCAGCTGTGAGGGCTTGGAAGGCGCCTTGGAGGCTTCTGAGCCTCATGTCCTCTAGGAAGAACATGTGGGTGTGAGGAGGTAGAAGTAACAGACTATGAATTTTTTAAATAATCTATCAAATTGTTTTGGATATCTATGATTTTTAATTAAAATTTTTTATTGGGAATGCATAGGTGTTGGACCTATAAAATAGTCCAGTTTTGTAAAAGGATTTTAGGCAGTGAATCATAAATGTGTTCATACCCTTGGACCAGTAATCCACTACGAAAACATAATTCAATGATAATCCTTAAAAAAGAAAACGTACTAGGCACAAAGATACAAACAATTACCATATTAAAAACAAAGAAAACTACCTAAACTCTCAAGAGTCAGGAAATAATTAAATATTTAAGCTATCAACTCAATGTACTATTAAATGTGGCCTTGAAATAAATATGAAAACTCCGTAGATGTATGAAATGTGAAGAATAACGTATAAAAATTTTTTTAATGACAGATTTACACTGTAATGAAACTTAGGTTTCTATATTGATGTCACAACGTTGCAGATACAAGGTCAACACACAAAAATCAACTATATTCCTACAGACAAGTAATGTACAATGGAGAATCAAAGTGTTAAAAAATGCCATTTACAGGGCTTTCCTGGTGGGGCAGTGGTTGGGAATCTGCCTGCCAATGAAGGGGACACGGGTTCAAACCCTGGTCCGGGAGGATCCCACGTGCCGCAGAGCAACCAAGCCTGTGTGCCACAACTACCGAGCCTGCGCTCTAGAGCCCGCGAGCCACAACTACTGAGTCCGTGTGCCGCAACTACTGAAGCCCGTGCGCCTAGAGCCCGTGCTCCGCAACAAGAGAAGCCACCGCAATGAGAAGCCTGCGCACCGCAACGGGGAGTAGCCCCCGCTCACCACAGCTAGAGAACAAAGACCCAAACGCAGCCAAATAGAACATAAATAAATAAATACATAAAAAGAAAAGCCCACTTTATTAAAATAAATAAATAAAAGAATAAAAATAAAAAACACCATTTCCAAAAGCTCCAGAATAACGGAAATACTTAGGTATTAATCTAACAAAACTTGTATAGGATCTATATGCTTAAAATAACAATCAAATTACTCACTTATTTGTCAAATAACTCTTCTGCATTTCAGCTAATTTACTACTACCCAGAATATACATAAGGCTTACCAAAAGTTCAATAACAATTATAGTAATATTCAAAGTAATAAACACATTGCTCTACTTAATTGCACCAAGTTGTTTGACTATTTCCTCTCAATACTGAATATATATATTCTTTTACTACATATATAAATTTATATATATTTAAATTTATAAATATTTAAATATATATATTCTCTTATAGTCATAGTTTTAAAGTAATTGATAATTTGATTATTTAAAAGCAAAAACTGTTAAAATCCCACTGAAACTGAATGCTACAATCTACATAACATCAGTTAAACTGGTTTTTTTTTGGATTTAGCAAGTTGCAACTTGTATCAAATTTGGATTTTTTTTGTCTCTTTTGAATTCTACTACTACAAAATTTTCTTGATTTTAATCCAAGCACTCTTAAGCCGTGGGGGGAAAAAGCTAACAAGAGCGGAGGGCTGACTAATTATAATCTATCTGGATAATTTAGGTCCCAAATCATTCCTTTAAAAAATAATTTTTTTTGTTCTGCCTGAATGATTCACCAAATATTGAACTGAACGTTTGCCACGTGCACATACCTTTCATGGTGCACTTGGGAATATTCTACTTTGCCCATAGAGAGGACCTCACTCAGTCACTAATTCCTAGTATCAGTTTCTATTACCCATGGCAT